GTATAAATAAATAATTTTTTTTAAATAAACAATTTAAAAAAAAATCACTAAAAAAATAAAATCCATTCTTTTTTTTGAGAAAATTCATGAAAACATGTTTTAATGGATCTATAAAAAAATATTTTTAAATCGTCCACGTCATGAATGGATCGAAAGATATATAGGGACTTTGGTACACCATTTACATTAAATCGCTCGAACATATTTATGGGAGCTATATCTAAATCTGTACCAATTTCCAGGAAATTTTACACACGCCATTCTAAACGCAATTCAGTACGCTATGCCAAATTTTGTGCAGATCGAAAGATATATAGGGACTTTGGTACCCCATTTATATTAAATCGGTCAAACATATATATGGGAGCTATATCTAAATCTGAACATTAAATCGGTCAAACATATATATGGGAGCTATATCTAAATCTGAACCGATTTCCACGTCATTCTAGACTCAATTCAGTACCGTATGCCAAATTTCGTGCAAATCGAAAGATATATAGGAACTTTGGTACACCATTTACCTTAAATCGGACGAAAATATATATGGGAGCTATATCTAAAACTGAACCGAATCTCACGAAACTTAACATACGTCATTCTAGCCTTTATTCAGTACGATGTGCTAAATTTCGTGCAAATCGAAACATATATAGGGACTTTGGTACAACATTTACCTTAAATCGGACTAAAATATATATGGGACCTATATCCAATTCTGAACCGATTTTCACGAAGCTTAACACACATTATTCTAGACTTTATTCAGTACGCAATGCCAAACTTCGTGAAAATCGAAAGATATGTAGGGACTTTGGTACGCCATTCACATTAAATCGGTCGAACATATATAAGGGAGTTATATCTAAATCTGAACATATTTCCAGGAAATTTTACACACATCATTCTAGACTCAATTCTGTACGCTATACCAAATTTCGGCAAATCGGAAGATATATAGGGACTTTGGTACACCATTTACATTAAATCGGTCGAACATATATATGGGAGCTATATCTAAATCTGAACCGATTTTCAGGAAACTTAACACACATCATCCTAGTCTTAATTCAGTACGCTATACCAAATTTCGGGCAAATCGGAAGATATATAGAGACTTTTGAACACCATTTACATTAAATCGACCGAACATATATATGGGAGCTATATATAAATATGAACCGATTTTCAAGAAATTTTACACACATCATTCTAGGCTCACTTCAGTACGCTATACCAAATTTCGGGTAAATCGGAAGATATATAGAGACTTTGGAACACCATTAACATTAAATCGGACGAAAATGTATATGGGAGCTATATCTAAATCTGAACTGATTTCCAGGAATTTTTACACACATCATTCTAGCCCTGAATCATTAGGCTGTGCCAATTTTTGTGCAAATCGAAAGATATATAGGCACCGTTTACATTAAATCGGACGAAAATATATATGGGAGCTATATCTAAATCTGACCCGATTTTTCCCAATTTCAATAGGGTTCGTCCTTGGGCCAAATAAGTGGCCTTGGGCCAAATAAGGTCAAATTTCATCAAATTCGGATCATAAATGTACGGACGGACATGCATTAATCGTCTTAGAAAGTGATTCAATGCATATTCTTAAAAGGAACCATGTTTCTATCTCGTTTCCCTTTGTCTGTTAGCAGAGGGTATAAAAATCTAATAAAGCCTATGGTATTGAAAATCCCATTTATATTTTTACATCCATTTTATACAAAAAGACTGATTAATCATGTCATTAAGAAGTTAAACATAATTATTTTCTTCTGGGATATTTGCAAAAGGCGGAGGTATGACTAAGAATAGTACCAACAATAAAAAAAAAAACAATTTCGAATTGCATTGAGGCAGGCACATATAGGCAAGGCACTGGAGCGAAGCAGCGAAGATTAAAATCAAATTACAACGTACCCCAAATGACGATGATGAATGGAGTATTTATAGATAAAAATGTTATTAGTAGATACTACCTTACAACAAGCAATTCCATTGGATAGATACGTCTTCTCATAGCCATAGACTTTAAATTCTGAGAAGTCAACTAAACGCAAAGAATGTTATCTTCTTCACGTGTAACGAAGGTACTTTCCCAACAGTCCGTCAATGGACTTAGTCACTTCTGTCTCTGGTTTCGTTATCTTTTTTTCTGCATATGGGTGATCACCGTCAAGTTCAAACTAATCGTGCCAATCAAATGTGTTACAAATTGTTGTTGTTATTTTGCTGTTTTTTCATATTTGTATTGCAACACACAAATCTTTCTGAGGAGGACTTTTGTGTCATTAAGTCAATTATGCTTTACGACCCATTGTCACTGTCATCAGCAACGACTAGAGGCACCTCTTCAAACAAAAAATCAATTAAAACGAATATGAGGGGATTTCTTTCAACAAGCCATAGGCATAGATTTTTTTAAAAATTATTTTTTTTTTCAGAGACTAACATAAACGTAGATTTTTGAGCTTTTATTTTCTACAAGGTTTACAATAGGCGTGAATATTTTAAAGATTTTTTTACTTTCTCACTTAAATTTCAAAATTACAATGAAAAATATAAATTATAAAAAATGTGTGTGTGTCATCTACAAAAAAATTATTTATTATCCATTTCCTACCTATATCCCAACGTCAGAAAATTTTCAATAAAAAATATTTATTAACAATTTTATGACTATTAATGGCTTGAATTTCTACACGATGATGAGCTAGTTGCAGTTATTATTATTGCGTATTTTTCTATTCCGTACTGGTAGTTTTGAATATAAATTATATGAATTTTCTTCAAATAGATTGCAAATTTATTGGAAAAAATACTGTAAATAAATCTATACAAATTATCGATTTATATTCTAAACTTGTTTTAAAAATTACACAATGTAACGAAAAAAAAACAATAAGGAAAGTAGTAAAGTCGGACTGGGCCGACCATATGACACCCTTCACCACTTTGGGTATATTCTACATAGTCTCCTAACATACGTCGCCTTTTCGAAAGAACATTGACATGAAATTGAACGAAAGATATTTAGGGACTTTGGCGCACCATTTACCTTAAATCGGACGAAAATATATATGGAAGCTATATCTAAAACTGAACCGATATTCTCGAAATTTAACACACATCATTCTAGACTTAGTTCAGTACGCTATGTCAAATTTCGTGCAAATCGAAAAATATATAGCGACTTTGGTTCACCATTTACATTAAATCGGACGAACACATATATATGGGAGCTATATATAAATCTGAACTGATTTTCACGAAACTTAGCACACATCTTTCTAGGCTTAATTTAGTACGCTATGCCAAATTTCGTGCATATCGAAAGATATTTAGGGACTTTGGCGCACCATTAACCTCTAATCGGACGAAAATTTATATGGGAGCTATATCCAAATCTCAAGCGATTTCCACGAAACTTAGCACACATCTTTCTAGACTTTATTTAGTACGCTATGCCAAATTTCGTCCAAATCGAAAGATATACAGAGGTTTTGGTTCACCATTTACCTTAAAATGGACGAAAATATATATGGGAGCTATATCTAAATCTGAACCGATTTTCACTAAACTTCACGTACGTCATTTTAGGTCTAATTCAGTACGCTATGTGAAATTTCGTCAAAATCGAATGATATACAGGGGTTTTGCTTCACCATTTACATTAAATCGGAAAAAAATATATATGGGAGCTATATCTAATTCTCAACCGATTTTCAAGAAATTTTACACACATCATTCTAGGCTCACTTCAGTACGCTATGCCAAATTTCGTGCAAATCGAAATATATTAATGATTTTGGCGCACCATCTACCTTAAATCGGATGAAATTATATATAGGAGCCATAAATCGGATGAAATTATATATGGGAGCTATATCTAAATCTAAACCGATTTTTTACCAATTTCAATAGGGTTCGTCCTTGGGCCAAATAAATGAGCTGTGTCAAATTTCATCCAAATCGGATGATAAATGCGAACTGTATTTCTTTAGAATTTAAAATTATATGCATATTCTCAAAAATAACTATGGGTCTATATTGTTTCCTTTTGCCTGTTACAAACATATGCACAAAGACATAATACCCTGTACCACAGTGTGGTGAAGGGTATAAAAAAGACTGAAATAACAATTGTTGCCCAAATGTCTTGATATGTTGATTAGGGGATTTTTTCCTATTTGAAAATATAATTGGAAAATCCCAAAGCCATGAAACATGTTCTATGTATGTCTGTGCATCATGTACCGACAAAACACGCTGTAAAAATCTATGCTTTTAATAAACATTTGTGTCAAGGTGGTATAGACATTTAAACAAACAAAAAATCCCAAAGAATGTAATGAAATTAAATACACGCTTATTATTTAATAAACTATTTTTTAAAAAATTCACGCATTGTGTGGATCCTTTAAAAAATATTATTTTAAAAATTCACGCCTTGTCAGGGTCCTTTAAAAAATATTTTTTTAAAATATCCACGCTTTTTGTGGATCATAAAAAACATATATTTTTTTTCAATATCCGCGCCTTGTGTGCATCCTTTAAAAAAATTTTAAAAAATCTATGTCCGATGGTCCCTAAAAATATTTTTAAAAAATTAACGCCTGGTGAAGGTGCTTGAAAAAATATTTGTAAAAAATACTCACATTTGTTGATCCTTATTTGTTGATGTTTGTATTGAATACTATTCTCAGAATATCCCAAGGGTAATATGTATCCATTTATTGTCATGCATTAATTTAATCTCAAGAAATATTAATAGAAAGACCTCTTCAACACGTGTAAGGCGAACATCAAATTGAAATAACTTCCATTAAATTTCATTGTTTGCATTTTCTTTACACGAAGAAAGGATAAAATTGTAACATCACACATTAATGCCTTTCTCAGCCCATAACAATAACAACAACAGTACAATAAAAAGCAAATCCATATAATATTCCTTTTCTTCTTCTTCTTCTAATTTTTTCCAGGTGCTTATCGACAAATAACTTTATTGGCTTACTGGGCATGTTAACCACTTTGCTGTTGAAAGTCTATCTGCCGCCGGAAGTCTTCGAGAAATACAACAAATGGGATTGTGTGGGCAAAGTGGTGTGGCGATTTTTTGGCCTGAGTTCCGGTTGCATAGCAGCCGTCATGGCCATTGAACGTTGGATGGCATTGGCTAGGCCATTTATATATCACAAGGTAAGGTTAAGGGGGAGGGAGAGATTGAACGAGTGAGTGTTACACATTCATCATGAAGAAGAGTGTAAAGATGAATGTGGAGAGAGATTATTGTTATTTTTTTATTATATTTATGTTACAAATCCAATTAGATTTATTATTAATTCAATTCACATTCATTTGTCTTGTATTTGTATTCTGTTTCAGCACATAACCTATGAATTGGTGCGTAAGACCATAAAATCCCTAATCCTAATAGCTGTGGTCATCACATTTTTGCCCTTCTTCGGTTTTGGCGCCTACATGGATGATAGCAATCCGGAAAAGGTTAAATGTTTACGTTATCGTGATGCTGAGGGTTTTTGGAATAAAACTTATTCAGTGTTATTTATGTTATTTGGTAAGTAAATAATATTTTTTTTTTTCAAAAGATACCATAAAAAATATTAAAAAACTAAGTCTATTAAAATTATTTTAAAAAATAAAGGCCTTTCTCTAGTCCTTAATAAACATTTAACAAAATCTAGGCCTTTTTCTGGTCATTTTTAAAAGTTAAAAAAATCAAATCAAAATTTTGCTGATCCTTAAAAAATATGCTCTTTTGTGGTCCTTGAAAAAAACCTTACAAAAAATATCGTTAATTGGTCTGCTATTCCCAGAAAAAAAACATTCTTTAAAAATCCATGATTAATCGAAATAAACAAAATCCTAAAAATCCTTTCCCTTCTCTAAGGTATATTTAAAGAGAATTTACTTAATGCCAATTAAAATCCCAAAATAATGATGACCCACAAAATGAAAATATTCCATTCTTTTGGCTTTGATCATCATAATTCATCACCAATAGCCTGAAATGGCAATTTTAGCAATTTGATATTAAGTAGCAAAAAATACTCACTCAATATTGACAGTTTCCATAAACAATAAACATCATACTCCTCCCTCTCCTCATCCGACTAAGAAATGGGCTGGCAGAAGCCACGAAAATATCCATTTTTTAATTGATGGCAAATATCGAGTCGGCAACAAACATCATTTATCAGCATTTAATATTGTTAATGGTTAAAGGCAATTGACGTAAGGCCTTACGCAGTTGCCGTTTCCCTATCTCTTCTGGACATTTGTCATCATCTGGTTTCAATTTTTCGTTTCATTTTCTTCTATCGTTTCTGTTCGTTTTTAGGCACTCTCCTCTGTGTGGTCATAGTCGCTTGTAATTTATTTGTTATGCGCGTTCTATGCTTCATTGGCCGCACACGCACCACCCAACGTCACATGACCTATGACATGGTGAATCGCAGCGAAAAGGGTTCGGTGGCTCAAATCGATGCTGAAAGTTCCAGTGGCACGACACTGTATCAGCATGGCCAGAGTAGTACGACGCACATACCGCAGTATCATCACAGCAACAGTGTGACACTGTCCGCTCATGCTTCGCCCGATGAAATAAAATTCGCCAAGCTGATGTTGTTCTTGAGCATATCGTTTGTTATCTGTTGGATGCCACAAATGGTAAGTAGGGATGAGTTGAAAGTTGGGTTGCAAGTTGTGCTAAACGAAAAAAAACGAAATGTAATGTATATTAGGGTGGAAAGGAGATTTTTAAAAAATAATAAATAAATGTAAAAAACGAAAAGAAAATAAATTTTATTACAATAAAAAAAACATTTTATTAATAATACATATGACATAAGTTCCGTTCCAGAACATAACATAATCTACTCATTTTACAAGTTTTGTCACTTTTTACTCGAAAATGTTTTACCACAAAACTGGTAAAACATTGAATGAAATTTTAGAGAACACAAAACCAAATGGCGTTCTCTTTGTAAACTTTTTACTCGGGAAATTTGAATGGTAAACAGGAATGGCAACTTCTGATTGGCTGTTATGTTGATTTTGAAGTATTGCCATATAATTGTGGCATATTTACTAGATTTGTGTTCCCGAACTTTTCAAATTATTTTATACTCTGAGAGCCATTTTGAAATGTTTCTCTTTTACTAGCTTTACTATTAAAAATACTTTAAACTAGATATACATAATTTATTACTATTTTAATAGACGAAGTCTGAATGTTCAAAACTATACTATATATAATAATTAAAATAACAGTTAATATTAATTTATAATTAATGATATTTAATTAATTTAACTAAAAATAATTAATTAATAAATAATTCCAATTATAAATTAAAAAAAATAATTATTGTAGATGTTTCAAAATTTGTCTTCTGACCCATCCTAATATCCATTTGAGTAAAAAAACAATGTTAATGTATTTCTGAAAAAATAAAGAACATTTTTAATTAATTGCAAATAAAAAATATAAAAAACTTTTTGTCTTCTGACCCATCCTAATATACATTTGAGTAAAAAAATGTTAATGCATTTCTGAAAAAATAAAGAAAATTTTTATTTATTTGCAAAAATATAAAAACTTTTATCTACACATACTTACATGCCAAATTCTTCTTTACAATAACTTTCATCTCCTATTTTACCCTCTTAACGCAGATTGCCATTCCCATGGCCATTGTCCCAAATCGTGTGCCCAAGGCACATCCTTTCTTTCTGATTGCTGACATGCTGATGGCTTTGCATTTCACATCCGATCCCTATGTCTATGTGCTGAGTCGCACCAAACATTCGTATATTTTGGGCTGCCTGAAACGTTGGCGTACCGGTTTTAAGCGTTCACACAGCGATCAGAGTCGTCTGCGCGCCACCATTGAACAGCACACATTGGAGTGTGGTCTCAATTGAAATCGATCGATGGCGATGATGTATGGCGGTAGGCAGCAGCAACAGTAAGTAGGTACAATGTGCATGGAATCCAGCTCTAATTAGTTGTTTCCTTTTAGGCAACAAGCGTGATAACAACAACCGTGGCTGGAATCATAAAAGAAAGATGAACATTTATGTGTCTTTTTTGTGGAGGTTTTTTTTCTGTAGCATCTTAATTTACCAGCGGTAGTTCATTTTGGAAGCAGTGGAATTGATTAGCTTGTCTTGTGGCCTGTTGTGTCTGTTTGTATGTATGTCAATCAGCCAGTCTATTGTATTTGGTCTCCATATGTACTTAGTTAAGCATAAGTTACGAGTTTTTAATTATTATTATTGATTAGAGCTGATACATTAACCCACATTTAGTTCATATCTTTTTTTATTTTTATATTTGTGTATCCTTTTGTGTATATGCGTATCTTTTTATAAACGAAAAAAGTTTTTAGGCGGAAGCAAACGTTTTAAAACAATATATATTTTTTGAATTCTTACAAATATTTGAAAAAATACGCTCGGCCTTAAAAAATTATTTTACGTCTATTGAACGTCCTTAAAATATATTTTTAATATAGGCATACTGACGATCCTTGGATAAATATATTCACTCTTATTACGGTAGACGTAGTCGTTGTACGGCAGCTCTCGTAGGCGTAGTCGTTTTTGGTCGGTATTATGTAAAATTTACAACGCCAAATTTTGAAATAGATTATTTTTTTTGCTCTGTTACAAAACCAAAGCAAAAATTGTACTTTTAGAACCCTTTTTATAATGTATTGGAAAACTATGTCCTTTGTTTTCTAATTACTTTAATTTTTAATTTTAATTTAATTTTCTTATGAATATTAAGAAATGCAATAAAATAATTTCTAATGTAAAAATTAATCAGTAAATATTGTTATAGTAAAATGTTAAAATTATTTTCCTAGTTATTTTTATGCTGTCGTCAACAGAATCTTTCACGACAAATTTGAAGTATTGTAACGACTTTCATAATACCGATTTGTCGTATAAAAAATAGACAGTGCCAAATTTTCGATACGACTACAACAACCGTAATAAGGGTGATTGTTTTTTTTTTAAATCCACAAACATTTCGGTACTTTTAAAATATTTTTTATAAGTCCCCAAACATTTCGGCCCTTAAAAAATATGTTGACGGTCCTTAAACAATACGTTTTAAAAAAATCCAAGCCTACGACATTCTTTAAAAAATATTGTTAACACAAGCCTACCGACTGTCCTTGAAAAACATATTTTTTAGAAATCCACACTAATTGAATGTTATTGAAATATTTTTTTTTAAATCCACAAACAAATCCAAGCCTATTGGCGGTCCTCGATAAATATACTATTTATGATAAATCAAAAAATTATCTTTAAAATAATTGTAATTTCTTGAAAAATGTATTTTTTTAACTCAAGGCTACTGATCCACGCCCATTGCGGGCGGAAAAAAATATTTGGTGGGATCTTAGAAAAACTAATCTTTTAAAGGACCCTTTTTTTAAAAAAAGTGAACATTTTTGGTTCATTTAAAAAAATTACACTGTTTTGTCGATCCTTAGATTTTTTCAATCCAGTTCCAAAATATTTTGTTTTAATTGAGGAATGTGGACCCTTTGAAATATTTTCTGGTGGTCTTTACAAACATTTTGTTGAACATACGCATTCGTTAATCCTTTGAACAATATTTTTTTCAAAATCGACGCCTGTCGACCTATTAAAAATATACATTTTTTTAATCCAGGTTGGTCCTTAAAAAAATTATATTTCTTTTGGATCACATTTAAAAATATTTTGTAATTTTTTTTCTTTACTTTTTGAACTGCGCGTCTTGGGTTTCATTGTATCTTTTTTAATTGTGTGATTTACCGTTTCCCAAGGACATATCTGGCTTTTTTTTGCTTTCCCAACAAAAAAAAAGAAAAAAATACTGAAGAGTGTTGTAATTGGAATATTGTTTTGAAATGACTGTGCTACTAGACCTATAATTTAGTTTGTTTCGTTTTTCGAATATTTAACTGGATACACCATAATGATAAGGACACATAATCACATCATTGTAAATAACATCTACACAGGCATATAACAAAGACATACACATATACTACACATTGCACACACACATACATTCATAAACATAAATAATTATGGGCATATTTACAACAAAAAATGAATACGATGATCACAATTCACAATAATCATGTTACTGATTACAAGGAGTTGGAAAGCAAATTGTATATCAAAATGAGATATGTATATGAGGAAGTAATACAAATAAGTATACACATTACAGACATTGTATACGAACGCACATATGTTAAATATACATTTTTATATTACTACAATTTACATAAATAAGTCAGATACATGAGATACTGCTTTATTTGTTACAAGAAATTGGGTATTGTATTTTTGAAATTGAAACCAAAAATTATTATATTAATAAAAAAATGAAGCACAAAATTTAATTGTTATTTGTGTATTAGTGTTAGTGTGTAACAAAAATAGAAATTAGCAAATAGTTTTTTTACATTTATTTTTTGTAATACCTATTTTTTATAAATAAATATATGGGAAATTACAAAATTCTTTTAAAATTCCATTAAAAAAAATTTGAAAAATTTTTTGCGAGCACATTCATGATTTTTGGTACATAGGTTAAGAAAAATATGCTGATTCGAAATCTGTTCGCGTTCACAAAATCGGATGCTGCGCACAAAAGTTATAGCGGTTTTAAATCTTGTATTTCAAATATAAATTAAATGGATTCATATTCGTTGTAATTCGCGAATTTCTTTACAAATGCTTAAACACCATTGTTTTCTTTGCATACTAGTCAAATCACACTGAAATACGGTTTAATAGTCGCGAAAAACAAATAGAAACATGAAGATAAAAATAAAATAAATTAATTTTTGCATTAACACAAAATTTTTTTTTTGAATTTTCGATTTTTCAGTTTTGCTAAGAGGATACGGTTTTGCTTTAATCTTCTAAAATATACGACGCTTTCTTCTGCAAATTCTTTTAGATGGTTGTTAAATATCGGCAGATTCATCTGATAAGAGTTTCGACGTCATTAATGGCTAAATATATTGCACTTACAATACATAAAAATGATCAATATTGAAAAGCTTGCAATTCGCGAATTAGTTGAAATCAGTTGATGCGCATGTGATTTTCGTATAAACCGAATCAATGTATTTCAATAATTATTAATTTTTCGATGTTTAATTTAGCGGTCGAAGTGTGCCACTCGATGCACTTTACTATGCAAAAACCCTAAAAATGGCTAAAAATCACGCAACGTGCATACGATTTTTATGCGCATCCGATTTTAGTAATCTCCTATGAAAATACGCAAAAGGACACCTATTTTAGAAGGATCGGTTAAGAACCGCGGATGTGCCTCCACAATCAATTTTGGATAAAATACGCATATTATTCGCGTACCGATGTATTTTTGACCTATTTCAACACAGATTCGCGAATTTGACAATACAAGCATAAATGCACGTAAAATTAATTCGAAGAAAACCGCGATTATTTACGCGAATTTGTCAAAATAAGTTTTTGCAGTTTTTCCCACATTCAAGGTACCTATATCCGCCGTTTTATTGGACGGAATTGAACATGGATGGGCTCATTAGATCCGGCACGTAAAAAAACTAAAATCACGCGGGGTTCCACGGAATTTGAAAGGACTTTCTTAATTTTAGACTCAAAAAATATGTTTTTTATAAAAATTTACGCACCAAATTTTCGTCTTTGGAACCCAATTGCAAAGAAGCTACAGTGAGCACATTCATGAGATATACACTAAACGAAGCAGAATCACGAGTTCTACAATCCTATAATTAGTTTATTCTATTATCTGGATGCGCATCCTAATTATAAGAAAAATTCAAAAAACACCGAAAATACGGCTTCAAAATGCCAGCATCCATTTTGGGTGGATGCAGTGATTATATCGAAAAACCATACATTAGAACCATATTGTCCATGGGGTATTCTGCAACTTAGTCACTGATCACATGTGCGTGCGTTGTGTAGTTTAGCCACAAATCGGGAACGAACACAAAAAAACTCGTTGGCTTCAACACATTTTCACCCATTTTTTTACATTACCACCATCACAGCTTCCACCAAACTTATTATTTATTACCAATATTTTAGGATTTTGACAAGAACACTTCATTTTATAGAAATGAATTTAAATTTTATGCAATATGTTCATATTTCGCGAGTTATAACCTTGCAAACCTCAGCTTCAAGGAATTTAAAAGATTTTTGTAATTTCCCATATATTTTTTAAAACAGCACAATTTATATATTTTATTGCTTAAGTTTTTCTCCTTCAAGGCTGGCTTCTCCCGTTGAAACACCACAAACATCTGTATTTCGTATGAATAGAGCAAAACGAGTATTAGTGCTAAGAAAAGAAAATGTTAAAAGTTAAGAAAACAAAATTATGGTTTGTATTTATTATTTTTTCTATAAATAAATAATAAATATGTGTTACAAATTTGACAAACTTTTTTTTTCACTTACGCTTAACAAATTTGGTGGGTCCCAATATTTTACTGGAACTTAAATGCTTTAAAAATATGGTCGTTTAAAAATATTCGTTCAAGATCCCCGCCTATTGATGGTTCTCTACAAATTATTTTGTTAAACAAGTGAAAAAGGGTTATGTTTGGCTGTGTCGAACTTTGGATACCCTCTATCATAGATACCCTCTATGAAATAAAAATATAGGGAACATACCAGAAATTTAACCTATACCGACATTTCTACAACTCGATTATGGTTCTAAATATTGGTTTCTAGCACCAATAAATATTGGTTTCTAGCACCAATATTTAGAACCATAATCGGTCCATGTTTCTTTGGACCAAATTTGTTTTAAAAATTATGATTTCATCCAAACATTGCCCATCTTATTATTTCTTCCAAAATTAGTTCAAGTTCGAACATGGGGAATATCGGTCTAAATGCGGGTTAGTTCATATGTGTATAAGGTTAATTATCGAACCTTATGTTCTAGTTTTTTATGTATCTTCCGCAGATGAAATGATTACAACAGAGTCTTAGAACCAAACCCAAACAGAAAAGGGGGGTTATATGGGGACGACCCCAAAAAGGGGGCGAATATTAACAATTTTTGGTGGGGAGATTTGAAGAACCCCACCCCAGATTTAAAGAACCCCACAATGCCGAAAATTGGGGGTACCCTTATATAGGGGGTTATCCGAAAAAATTGACCTATATTTATAATTTTTTGTGGAGAGATTTGGTGCCTATTAAGAACTCAAAATACTAAATTACAGTCAATTCGGTGGAAAAATGCGATCAAAACCTCAACAATACTGAAAATTAGGAGGTACCGTTATATGAGGGCTACCAGAAAGTGGACCTATATTTATAATTTTTTGTGGAGACATTTAGTACCCAATAATAACCCAATGTACCAAATTTCAGCGTATTCGGTTGAAAACGCGCTCAAGAACCCCAAAATATCGAAAATTGGGGGTAAAGTTATATGGAATCTATGCCTAAACGTGGACCGATATATCCCATCTTCGAACTTGAACTGCCTGCAGACAAAAGACAGCACCCTATCTCAATTCCTTCAGAAGATAGCGTGATTACAACAGACGGACGGACGGAAGGGCTAGATCGTCTTAGAATTTTATTCGGATCAAGAATATATATACTTTATAGGGTCGGAAATGAATATTTCGACGAGTTAAAAAATCCTTAAAAAATCCACGACTATTGAAGGTTCTTAAAAAATCCCCATTCATTGAAAAAACATTCGCGCCCATTGAAAAAGAATTTTAAATTTGGTCAAATAATGTTCTCAAGTACGCTCAACAAAGACACTGAAAGTTAAATGTTTTAAAAATATGGTCGTTAAAAAATATTCTTTAAAAAATCCATGCGCCTGCTATTATGAATCTTTGAAAAAATTATTTAAAAAATCCATGACTACTAAAAGTTTCTTAAAAAAAGAGTTCTTTTAAATATGCCCAACCATTGAAAAAAAAAAAACATTTTTCAAAAAAGTCGTGCTCTTTGAAAAAGTATTTAAAATTCAAAATAACGTCAATTGAAATTTCTTAGAAGTTATTTTATTCCTCACCCATTATAAACCCTGATTAAATAAAAACACATTTAGTTAATTTTTTTTCTATATACTTACATTGGTATATATTTTTATTTGTTAATTTTTCGATTTCTTCTGTACGAGTTTTCTCTGGTTCACATAAATCTATAGCTGAATTTCCAGACTATAATGATGTGCTTTCTTTTATGACATCACTTTGAATGATTGTTGCAAAGAAAGAATGTTGTAGATAGGGGATACATATTTTACTTTGCTTAATTTTCTGGATTTATTTCTTTCTATTTTGTTTTATGTTTTCCACTCTTCCCAAAGTTGTAAAAATTATAATCATAATCTATTTCATAGAAATTGTGTGTTTCTTTGCGTCTTGGAAATAGAGGATCGGTTCATTGTTATCACAGATGAATGTCCTCTCAACATAAAAAGAAATGGTAATCTTAAAAAAATCATGAGCGTAGCTAATGATATACCACCTCTTATAATAGTTAAGCAAAATCGTTTAATAACCCCCAAACGCAGGTGGTAAGATGCTATTGAATAAAATGTAATACAAGGATTTTGTTTGTTTTTAATGTTTGTTGTTTGTTTTTTATTAATATTATCATTATAATTTTAGATCTTCTCTATTCATTATCTAATAGGGTTGATTTTTGTTCTCTCATTTGTTTTTCTTGGGTTTTCTTTTTCTTGTGTGTGTTTTTAGTATAATTTGCATATTATGTGTATAGGTAAAAAAAGAGGGGGGTCTAGCAAATTTTGTTTATCCATTAAAATCGAGATAGTCCATTAAAAATGGGCTCCCGTGCCGTAGCGTAATACAACATAAGTAATTACAGAAATCAATAAAATTCTACTGTTTGACGACACTCTCTCTTCCTACTTGTTGTTACATTACATCTTATTGCAAGGATTGGTATTCCTTTTCTGCATGGAGTGCCGTTGTCCGGATCTTTTTGGTTGGTTGTTTGGTTAGTAGTAGGTTCTCGGGGTAGGACAGTAATAATTATATTGTAGATATAAGTTATATTTATATGTATAGATATATTTTGCAAAACGTTAATGGTAATGACAAAATTTTATGAAAATCATATAGTTGCTGAATATAAATATTCGCGTCAAATACACACTTTCACCAAGACCTTTTCAATGGCCCAAGGGAAAGTTTTTTCTTTTGTTTTCTTTATTCTATGGTTATGTACTTTAATTTATATATAATATATGTGTGTGTTGGGGTTGGGGGTGTTGGTGTCACACCTCCTTAATAACGGTTGTAGCGTCCACGGCCACGATTACGCGGCGTACCCTTAGCGCCAGCGGCAGCTGCACCACGTGCTGCGGCGGGTGTGGCTTTCTTGGCGGGTGAGGCTTCACTGGCAGCGGCTGGTGTGGAGGGAGCAGATGTCTTGGCGGGAGTTTTGGCGGGGGTCTTGGCGGCTTCTTTGACTGGTTCAGGTGTGGGCTCTGGCTCGGGTTCAGCTTCGGCTTCCTGTTCGCCGCCCTCTTCTTCTTGGGCCTCTTCCTCTTGGGCTTCCATTTCTTCGCCGTTTTCTTCACCATCACCGCCTTCTTCACCTTCACCATTTTCGTTCATTTCAACGTCTTCATCATCGCCAGTGGCCTCTGAGGGATCGTACAATTCACCCTCAGCACCTTCGGCGGCTTCACCACCTTCACCTTCTTCTTCGGTCTTTTCGGTGGTCTCACCGTTGGCGGCGGCCTCGGCTTCTTCGATCTTGCGCTTCTTGCGTTCGCTCTCTTCAATGGCGGCAGCAGCGCGTTTTTGGGCGATCTTGGTGTCGCTGGCCTTCTCGTTGATGAACTTCAAGAAGTTGCGGTGATGGGTAACAGTGCGGGAGTGCACTTCAACGGTCTTCTCGGTGTCGAAGAATTTACCGCACAATGAGCACTCGAAGCATTCGAGTTTGGTGATGAGGGCGGCACCCACTGGACGTGTCCAGTTGTATTTGGGCAGACGGTTGTCGACCTCAGTGGGAATTTCATCACCCTCATTGAAATCCAAGATGCAATCCTCGGGATCGACGGGCAAAGCGATTTCCTCTTCGCCTTCTTGGGTCTCGTTGAGTTCCTCACCCTCCTTGGTCTCATCGGCACCTTCTTCGCCTTCCTTCTTTTCCGCTTCCTCACCCTCGGCTTCTTCACCTTCAGCGTCTTCTTCGCCTTCCTTCTTGGCTTCACCGCCTTCGGCAGTTTCAGTCTTCTTGGCGGCGGCCTTCTTCTTCTTCTTGGTGGGTGGGCGGACATCCTTCAATTCCTCCTCCTCGGTGAGGATGGGCAAGGTTTGACGCTTGCGTTCACCAACCTTGGTGTTCTTTTCGGCGGCCTTGATCAAGTGATCAGCGGACAGCAAGTGAGAGTCATAATCAATGCGAGTGGCGAATTCCTTGTTACATTCGGTACACTTGGGATGCAAGAATTTTTTCAATTGCAAATGACCCTCGGATTTACGATGGGCCGAGATGTGGCCATGGAAGTTCAAGTCGCACATGGTACAGTAGTCCAATTGGCGTTGCTTGCTCTTGCCCATACGCTTCAAGCGATCCAATTCAATGGACTTCAATTGTTCGGCAATCTTGGCCTCTTGGCGGATCATGTTGGCCTTTAGGCGGTAGCTTTCCTCAATACCTTCGCGCATCATCAAGTGAGTGCGACCCTTGATGTGATTTTCAAATGAGTTGGCATCCCACATGTGTTTCTTGCACAGGTGACAGTAGAACATGTCGTTGGGTACATTGGCGTAGGGTGACTCTTTGCTGTTTGATGAAAATACGAGGATGGACGATTTTTCCCATACACAATAATGTCGTGTTGAGAAAAATTAAAGAGAGAAAGAAACAAAGGCAAAATTGAAATTAGTTATTTGTTATTTTAATAAATTAAATGGAATTGATGAGGTTTGCACAGCAATTCTTCTGAATTAGAGGATAGAATATAGAGATGAGTGGGGCAGGGGGGATATACAATAAGGCGCAAGCGAATGTATGTTGAGACGAAATAAAAAAGTAAATGTAATAAAACATAATGGAAAATTATACATATTATGAATAATTATATTAACGGTGGGGGTTTAAGATAATGTGAATTGAAAAATCAATAAAGTTAATTTCATTTTTTAAATTGATGAACAATGGAATTGAAATATATTTACGGCTGTAAGTTTTGTAACTGTTAAAAGTTTGAAATATTGTCCTGCATGATGTTGCTGCTATATCAAGACTATATGACTTAGAATACAATTTTATAGAATTTGTTAAATAAATTGATTAACTTTGTGTTTTTCAACACAAATTTACAATAGAAGTGATTTTGGCGCAAAAAAGGTTTATCTCAATCAGCTGAGAACTGATGTCTGAGAAAGCAGCTGTTATAGTGCGTTTACATTTAACGAAATCCGTTAACCCAGTGGGTTTCATTTGTCAATTCCTTTGCATATATGTCAAATAAATCCTCAAAAAGTAGGTTAACCCGGTAAAAAGTTCTAATGTATATGCCGTTTTACATGATAATGTCAAATGACTTAATGAAAGAGTTGCCAACCTTCAATTCTTCTGTGGGAAGAAAAAAACGTATGAACGGGTCACATTTAGTAGTAATGTAGCTCGTTGAATCATGATTACAGAGCGTAAGAGTTTCATTAATTTTAATTTTAAATTAAATAATGTCAATGAATGCGACTAATTTGAAGCAAGGCAAATACATCCACATATGTATATTATAATGTAAATAAAGTGGTTAGTAATTGGAAATAATATCATATAATATGAAGACAAAATGCAAAATTTCCATGACAATACTCATAAAGTATTGATGAATTTTGAAAATAATTCGGGACCTATGGATTTGTAATTAAGATGAATGTGGAAATATCATCTAAAATATTTGAGAAAAACCCCGATCAAGAAACAAAGTGGGAAAATACGACAAGTCTCTCTTCACACTAATTACTTAAAAGAAGTAATGACGTTTTCAAAAAAAATATTTCAGGACTCAGATCTGTAGGCAATATTTCAAACTTTTAATAGTTGGTATTATTATAATAAAAGCAAATTAAAAAATAAAACCCCATAATAAAAATACATTGAAATCTGAAAAAAGAAATTTCTTCAAGATCTCAAAATACAAATAATATAAAGGATATATGAAAATATTAAATAATACTATGAAACTTAGAAATAAAATGAACGAGAATAAAATAAAAATACAGAGAGCAAAAAGAAGGAGAATAGGTAAATACGATGGAATTAAAACTAAATAGAAAAACCCGCCCTTTAGAAGAAACCCCATTTGTGATACCTAAAAGAAAAAAAAAAACACCAGAAGAAGAACAAACACAAACAACAACAACTAACACACCGCTGCCAACACAAAGAGACACGAAGGACTCTTTCTTGATGTGCTTGGTTAGGGTGCAATTTGGCTGCTGCATAAACTTCCTTGTGTTGTTTTCAAACCCGCCGCCTAGTTTTGTTTGTTTAACCACAAAAATCCTAATAGTTGTCTTAAGAAATATTTGTATTTTTTAAAGGAAATAAATAACGAAACTAATTATGTATATTTATATGTTACATATAAAAAATGGTAAACAATTTTTTGCTATAAACAACACAATATTTTCCATATAAGAAAAATATTTGAAAAATTATCAAGTGTTTTGAAGATTTTGTTTTTGGTTTTGTGGTTTTTTGAAAATATTCTTGAGTTTTTGTTTATGGGCTTACCTCTCAGTTTTCTTATCGCCAGAAGCGGTATCCTTCTTTTTATTGTTGGCATTTTTAGCCAAAAGTTTCTTTGCACGATCGAAAGCATTCTGCTTACGAATGCCGCCAGCGCCGGGCTTTGCGGCTGATTTAGCACCAGCACCAGCTCGGTTTTGGAAAGTTCCTTGACCACGACGATTGTTTAAACGATTGCCGCCAACACCACCACGATTGGCCATCTGATGTTTTTGAAGAAAATAGTTTTTGATTTTTGTTTTAAAGTTTTTTTGTGGCGCATTGAAATTTGTTGTTTGAAAACACAGTTTGTTATTTAGTTATTTTCATAAATAAGAAATAAATGATATTATGAAAAATATCATCATTCATTATTTTAATCAACACATTATTTTGACGATAACAATAATTGTAATGTTTCCATTTGTATACACATATTTTTTCAGTTTTCAAATAGCGCATTTTGTTTTGTATTATTTTGGCCATTTTTTGGTTTGTTGCAGAAAGCGTGGTGGTTTGGGGTATTATTTGTGGATGGAAGAAAGATGATTTCACATATTTCGTATTTTTTCATTTGATGGTGGCATGGCAATCAGAGTTTTGAAATATTTCAAGGCATTTGCAGTTGTTATTGTTGGAGTGGCAACAATCACATTTGTTTTTTTGGTTATAGTGTAATTTTTTTTCCAAAACATTGGTTAAAAAATATTAAAAATAATAAAAAAAAAATCAAAGTTAAAAAATGGTGTTGTTTTTTGTTTGTTGTTGTTGTTGAAAAACCCAAACACAATAAAAAAACATTCAATGTTTGTTTTTATGGTTTTTGTTTTTTTTGTTGCACAATCAAGAGTTGCAGACAAACGAGATGTTGAAGAGTTGGCACCAGTCGATATTTTTGTGAACACACATACCACACACACACACATACAAGAAGGTATCGTATCGGAATCATCACAAGGCATCCAGAAATTTTTGTATCGTTTCAGAGATATCAGTTTTTTTCATTTTTTAAATTGCGTATGTTGTGTTGCATTTACAATACAATGCAATTGTCGAATTTTGTATTCAAGTTTTTGTTAGAATACAATTAAAATTAAATTCAGTTCCAGAGTTGGGTGTGTTTGAATTTTTGTTGTTCATTGTTTTCATTCAGGACAGTTGTAAAGAGAAAAAAGGAGTTGGTTGTGCGCACAAATAATATTTTGTTACATTTTTTAAACAAATTTTAATTTTTTTATTCAAAAAAATAAAGAGGAAAATATTTTTTGTTGTAAAAATGCGCATTTTTTTAAAAAAAGGGGTTGACGACAACAATATTAACAATACAAACAATTAATAGAAATTGTTTAAATTTTAAACACACCGCAACACCAAGGATTCATGAATTGTTTTACAATTTCATTTCGACATTGACAACAACAACAACGATTATTATTTACAAATAATAACGCATTGAAAATGCAAATCCAGCAAACAGTATGATATGTCATCATCATTCATTATGGTAGTATTACACACGTTTGTATGTTTTTGTGGTTCAAATTGGCATTACCACCCGATGTTGAAGAAGACCAGCAGAGATTTTGTATGGTTAGTTGGTTCAGTTGATGGTGGTGGTATGGTGGAATGTGTGGCAGAAGTAGCAATCGATCAGTTTGTTTTCAAATCCAAAGACCAAAGTTATCAATTTGCAATGTGCATGTGTGTTTTGAAGAAGAGGGGCACGGAACGGAAACCGATGTGTGTGCGTGACAAGACATTTATGTTTAGTACAACACATCATCATCATTTGATTTGACACACACGATCAATATCATTTTTGTTTTGGTTATTTTTATATGGAAAGGGAGAGAGAAAATAAAATAAAATTTTTAATTAGAATGGTTGGAAATACTCCAAAAAACAATTATTTTTATAACAATATTTTATAGTAGAGTAGGTTTGGTAGAAACATTTGTTGTTGATTTCTTATTTTGTATGACAAAAAAAATTAATTTTGGGTAGCAATTAAATTACTAAAAATCAAATATAATTGTAGTATACAATAGTACTTGTAGTAAATAAGACTAAATATATATATAGAGAGAGAAAGATAGAAGTTATCATTAACAATATTATTTGTTGTAAATATAACACATTGTATTATAATGGAAAGTAAATTTGATTTGTTGATTGTTGGGAATGTTGATACTTTCTTTTTTCTTTTTTTGGTTGGTTGGTAAATTTTAGTTTAATAGTTAAAAAAAAGGTTAACGGCAACAATTGGTATAGTTGTAAGGTAAATAGTTAAGAGGAGTTTACAAAATTAATAAATTGTGGAGATTATTATTATTATTGTTGTTTGGTTTTTATCATTTCATTACTTTTGATTTTCATTTTTTATACATTAAAAATAACATAAAATAAGGCATTGAAAACTTAAAAAGAACAACTCACAACACTGGTCGGAGTGAATAGCAAAAAAGGAAAATAATAACAAATACATGTAATATACATATATATATAATTTCGAAATCTAAAACATTATTCCTATAATATATAAAGCAACAGCAGCAGCAGCGCTAAATAACTGGCGCCAATTGTGACAAAATACTTACAAATGTAGCATAATAACTAGTTTAGATTTATTTTATGTTTAATTGCACATAATTCTTATTTTCTGTTAACTAATAGCATTAAATTTAAGAAATTTTAACTTAATTTTATTAAAAACAATTCATGTCATTTCTATGGCGCCAAAGAAAGAAACAGCTGTGACTTGTAGTCGTTGCTGTGAGAAAATGTCAGTTACATTGGAAGTGTTACCAACTTAGTTAATATTTGTATGCAATTCATTTCCTGACTGTAAGGAACGAAGCAAAGAAATGAGAACACGTATGTATATATTAAAATGTTTGGTGGTTAACTATTGTGGAGGAATAGCAGCATAAGTATGCATAAGGCTGCCGGTTAGATATTTTGTGGTTAACCACATTTTAAAACGGCCAATGACGTATATTTTTACATCATTCTCAGTGACTAATATAACCACAAACATTTGAGGTTGCATACCTAATGTTATAGCAAGAGAGTGAGCAATGTGAAGAGAATGAACAGAAAACTGACGAATGTTGGCAAATGAAGGCTGGTCTAGTGGGGTACATATAAAAAACGGAAAAACTAAAATTGACCATTAAAATGAATAAATGAATTGACTATTAAAATGTGTTAAAATCACAGCGTATATGTGAAGATCATTGCCCTCATTCCTTTTGAAGTATTAATAAAAAACATGACTTTGCCGGGAGGTCAATGACATTTGAAAATGAAGTCACGTAGACAACACACATCACTAATCCCTCAGAATACCAGTTTTGTTTTTTAAACAAGTCAACGCTGCTCTTCACACGCCAATTACGTGACGGAAATAGGGGATAACAAACAACCAACATGTATTTTGTAAGAAAATCATGGGCAGTGAGTTGCCAGAAGTGTTGTTGTTGTAGCAGCCCTATTGCTTTTACACAATGCCAGAATTGTGGAAAATGCAGCTGCTGCTGTTGTTGCAATGAAAATACTCTGCGTTTTCCCTACTCTCTATTTCAATTATATCATAAAGAAACAAATTAAATTAAATAAAAACACATAATGTTAATAGAAATCATATACATACCGGTCCAGCGCGTTGAGCACCACGATTCATGTTGCCACCGCGTGGCATATCCAAGAGGGAAGGTGGATTTTGATTGCGGAACAAATTGTTCAACAAATTATTGGCCAGATTTATGGCTTGGGCATTCATTTGGCCACCACCGCCGCCGCCACCACCTTGGCGCATATTACCGCCACCAAAGCCGCCACCGGAATTTTGGTTCTCCCAAGGAGACATCATGTTGTTGCCACCGCCCATGCCGCGGTTACCACCCATGGGACCGTAGTTGTTACCACCGCCAAAGTTGCGATTGTTACGATTTTGATTGCGGAAAGCCATTGTGTTTTTGTTTTGGTTATTGGTGGCTACTTTAACGCTAAAATATTAAAAAAAGAAAAACCATTTTTCATTTAATACACAATTATTTAAAAACCTCAAAACAAATACACACACATAAAACTACAAAAAGCTAAAGCCAACCTACCTGGGACACATAATAATTTATTTATTTTTTGTAATGCAAGGATATAATTTAACTAAATTATGGACAATTTGGATGGATTGTGGGATGAGAGATGGGGGGTTTCAAAAATTTCTACTACAAACACAAAGCTGAAAATAAACAAAAAAGCGTACAACAAAGCGCACACACACAAAATAGACAAATTAAAATTTTGATTTTTCTTAAAGAGATATGGCCAAATTATACTTAAAAAATAAATTACACAAAAAAATAATATTTATTTCTTACTTTTTTTTTGTATCTACACTAAAATATTTTTCTTTCAACTACAATACAAAAAATACAACACTGTAATGCGCGCGCTATTGACAGACAAGAGAGAGCCCGCCAACTGATGTGTGCCGTAGCAGAGATGCTAAACAACTGATGTTCACAGTGTCGATAAGAAAGGTTATTTAAGAAAGAGTGAAGTAAGAAGAGTCACTAAAAAGAGGGTAGGTTGGTGGTTAGTTTTGTTAGTACCTATTTTATGAGGGTTGGTAATCTCGAAAATGCCACAAATGGTGGTGGTTTCTGTCGTCTACCTACTACTAAATTCAATGTAATTTCTGTAACATTTTTTTCCACGAAGTCAGGTGAAATGTTTTTTAGTTTGTTTCCAATTCCCATATTTTTGTTAGGTTGAGAGAGCGGCAGTAAAGAGAACCGGTTAGCGGCAAACAAAAGATCATTAACACCGGCATTCTCTTGAATTTGATGGCAATGGGGGACTGACACAAAAAAAACTTGACAGGCAAGAATATCAAGGGAAATCCAGCAAAAGAGCCACACAACAAATAAAAGGTAGAGAAACGAATAGAAATTTATGGAAAAAACAAAATGGCGGGAGCTTGTATACCACACACACACTCATATTTTGGCATAAATGAATGGAAGGCGAGAAACACGCTGCTGACGTGCATGCAAGAAAGTTACAGATACATAAATATGCCGGCCGGTTTCATGTATATTTCCCCCCTTCATATATTAACAGGAGAATGAGAAAAGACAAGTCATACACGTTGTGTCTTGTGTGAGTAACTGTTGTTAATTAAAAAATTTACAAGGTGGTCAAGAGACAGCTCTAAGCGCAAAGGTGTTTTTACATTTAATAAAAAATCTCTGTGTGTACTGTACCCCAGATAAACCTACATACACACACAAAATATAATGCGCAACGCCGCCATTAACGACCCCATTTCTTTTCCACAAGCCTACACATGTTATGCCAGCCAATGACAGAACAAAAAAAAATGTGAATGCAAGGCAGGGCGCAGAGCGATGTGATTCAATGAATAGATACACAAGGAAAATTTCAACGATTTTTTTTTTTTTGCAAAAAAATTACTAGTTAGCAAAACTAAATTATATAACAAACAAAATTACTGTAGAAAATTATTATTTTAAATAAAAAAACATAAGAAAAACTAAATTTCACCATGCACAAACACACACAACTACATAAAGACAAGGAAATGAGTCACTCGCAAATTTTTTTTTCGCACAAAGAACATGAATTTTTTCATAATTGTTTTAAGAAATTAGTTTTTTTAAACATACCTTTTAATTAAAATGACCGGTAAACCGTTTAGATTTTCTTAATTATTCACTTCTTCCAAATTAATACTTTATGCAAACTTGAAAAAATCACTTTTTCAAAAAACCCAAAATGGCTGCTTTAGTTCCTTTTTTGTCACTTATTTCTTATTTTACTGAGAGAATTAAAGAGTGAAGCGCAGCCCGAAAACACAACTTCACTTGACGAACGACAAACAATTACTCGTGAAGTGTCAAATCTCGGTTCGATTTTTTGCGTTTTTGTGAATGAGACGCCAACACGATGTGCGGTGAACGGCGTTAGTATACAGATGACAGGGATGTATTTGTCAGTGTTGCCAATCAGTGTTTAATTTTTTAGAGAGTTGGCATTCTTAGATTAAGACGTATTTTGGTGAAATCGTTTGGCAAGGGGACTATGTAAAAAGTATGTATATCTGTCATTTTTGGAGGAAATGTTCTTTATTTGCGTTCGGTGACAGTAAAAAACAAACATGTTTTATGTGGAAGTCAGCATATGCTCAGCAAGTAATACAATTCTATAAATTAATAAAGGGATACGAAAACAATTTGGATTCTATTCTGCCTACCCTTTAATCGATAAAAAAGAACCTGTGATAGTGATACTTGGTCAGTTCCCGTACTGCAAGAATCCACTAATTTTTACTATTTTTTCGATATCATAAAGGAAAATTTCTTATCGTATTAGAAAGTACAAGGAAACTTGCAGTACGGGAGCAGACCACCTGTGTACAACAGTCAAAGAGTAAAGGGCTAAGCCATGGGAAAATGAATAGTGATGATCTTTCTTATATGCGATTTTTTCTTATATGAGATGTGCTTATATCCGATATCTACTGTATTGTTGGATCATGGGCTAAGCAGAATGTTCGCGTTGAGCCATCAGTCGAGTTGTGTCATCAAAAATGCAACAATCACAAGGAAACGATAACACTAACGCTTGAAGTTGATGTGCCCTGCGCTTCGGAGTTAAATATATTTTATTTAAAAAAAAAGTTCAACGCGAACATTACGTTTAGCCCTTTAAACTTTACCTCTTTCCGTTTTGAAGTTTGATAACAATATTTGCTCAATAAAAAATTCTGTTCAAATTTTGTTTAAAATCAAAGAATACTGACATTTGTGGGTAACTTTTTTGTTCTTGTACTTAAGGTTGAGAAAATATAAACTCATTTTCATAGAAAGAATCGCCACCTAATTAAAACTCAGAAAAGTCAAAATACTATGGGTTTGATTTATCGTTTAAATTAGGGAAATTTATTAATACAATATATATTACCCCCAGTACCTTAAATAATCTCTTAACTATTATTTTTTTTACAACTTTTTACTCGAAAACCATTGCGATACCCACAAAACTAATAGTATTTTACTATATTTAAAAGAACAGAACAAAAATACGTACCCTACATAAGATTTTTTTTATTTTGCCAATAAAAATCATAAACAGAATAGATCTTTCCCATGGCTTATAAATAACCCAGGGAAACCAGCTGATAATCGATGCCTCTCAAGATTGCTGTCAAAATGCATTATTGTGAATTGACTTCCATTATGAAAACGTAAACAAAGTTGAAATTTTTGACATTAGACTTGAGAAAAAACAGCTGTCTTCCGATTTCGATTGCTACTTGGTGACCTTATTAATAGATCTTGGATCTTTCCGTGTCCATAAAGAAACGATAACATCAGCGCCTGAGGTTAATATGCACTACACAATAAGAAAAACTAACTTCTGGTTGGCTGTTGTGTTGGTTTTGATGGATTGGTATTTTTACTAGATTTTCGTTCCATTATTTTTTGACATTTTTACCTTTTACTAGATTTACTATTATAAAGTTAATGGAACAGAACAATTGTGTTTTAATACGAATACCTTTTATTAAAAAATGAATAAATGAGCATAAAATAACTAAATAATATTATAAAATAAATGTATGCATTTTACAATCCTTCTATTAATCCCCCAAATTTGTAATTTTGCCAACAAAAATAATTAAAAATGAGTACAGCTTCCATTGATTTTCTGACAACTGCCGTACGTTTTATTATAAGGCATACATCGCACACATTGTATTTCATAGAGTTGGCAAATCCAAAATCGATGACAGAACATGATATCGATAACTAAAGGAAGTTCAATAGAAAATTGCCGCCAAATTTATACAAAATTTGTGTTTTTGTTAATATACCCCTATATTCGCTAACTCCAAGGGCTGTAAAACTTTGATGGCTAATGAGGATCAATCCAAATGAATTGAATTAAGGGTGGGCTGACATACATGGTGTTTTAATACATGTGTAAAATTCAGGTAATTGTCAAATATTGGAGTAAAAAACTAATATTTTTATGTGTCACCATTTAGGTAGAAAAAATGATAAAAATATTAGAGCAACTATTTCATGGATTAAGTTAGAATATACCGGCAATAGTAGCAATATGAAGAACCATGGTATGATGAAGAGCATATTTTTCAATGGGGTGGGTGATTGGCATACATATGTATGTAGAATATGTTTGCCAGGAACGAAATTCAGGTAAATGTAAAATATCCAAGTAAAGTGTGTTTTATGTATATAATATGTATGTATAATAAGACAATGTATTTTTCCCATAAGATTTGTATACCCCACACAACTATGTTGTCAGGGTATTATAGCTTTATGCAGCCCCAAGAGTTGGTAACGCCGCGATATATTGGTCCTAGACCCACCTTTAAGTATACCGTATCTCGACTAGCTGAATCGATCTAGACATGTGTGTCCGTCTGTCCATTATAATTTGTAAACACGATACAGGCCACAGTTATTGACCAATCTTCACGAAATTTGGCATGTAGGATGGGTTCTGGCCAATGAATACCCCTATTGTTTTTGGTAAAGATCGGGTTATATTTTCTGGTCGCTCCAGAGGCCGCAATTATGGCCGAACGTCGCGAAATTTTACATGGAGAAAGGGATCGGGCTAAAGAATAAGCATGCCTGTTTTGTTAAATGAACCCTGTTTTTTGTGTGAAAAATTAAAAAAATTGTATTCTATGGCGTATATATTTGCCCCTGAAGGACATAGACCCGAGAAGTTGACCGTATATCCAAGAGGAGTGGTTGACCTTTAAATTGATACCAATTATATTGTCGTATGTACTCAGATGTGGGAGTTGCACTTAAATAGTTACAGGTGCTTACGTATTCAGATATCATTACCACACTACAGGGCGGAAATATAGCGCTGATCGCTTTGAAATGTTCCATGAGGTTCCAGTTATGGTCAAGGCCAACGCCTATAATTTTCGGTGATGATCAGTTAATAATTTTGGGATAAAGTGTACTGAACTAAATTTTTTGTGTTTTTTTCGAGTCGATATATAGGCCACAATTATAAAACGATCATTACAACACAACCCACGGGGAATGGAATATGGACTTGTA